TTAAATAAATTCATGTTCTGCTTAAATAGGCTAGATTTGGCTTGCATCTCAGACTCCTGAGCTTGTCAGGAACTGGAAGCCATTCTCTCCAGAAATTGTTGTGATCGCTGACTCACCTCTGGTACAGAGTGGGGATGCTACCTGTCTTCTGGAGTTTTTCCCTGGCTCCTGCTTTCCCCTTCATTCTGGCTTGACCCCATTCATTTGTTTCTGTCCTTCCTCCCCAACTTTTGCTCTCTGGTGGAAATCTTCTTTCACATTCTCTGAGAATGATACCACCAGAGTGATGCACTGTTTGAATCCCCTCCTTTGCCAATTGAGGATTTGGACAGGTGACAGAATATTGAGTTCTGAATTCCAAGCCTGAATTGAACCTGGGGGCTGATTTGTACTTCATCACAGATTACCACAATGAGGGGCCAGTTCCTGGAAATAGTGTCATTTGACTTTGGGAAAGGTGGGGGTGCCAGAATGTCTGTGGCCAAGTACATGTGGACTGAGGAGAAAGAGCAAGACCATATTCCTAGTGGGCAAAGGGACCTTGACTGAGAGTAATTATTGGTCTGGGTGCAGGTAATGGTAGGAGCTCTTTATCTGGTCCTGAGGTCTCAGACTGATTGTCCTTAAGGGTACAGCCAGGTCATGTTCTCTATTTAATCTCAGTTTCCAAGTAGCAGGCTCCCAGCTTTCCATATAAGTGGTTACTGTGTGTTTGGAGGTGTGCTGGACAGTATCTCTCATTTGGATGCCTTCCTCCTGAATCAAGCACCAGCTGGCATACTCTTTGGATGGGGTTTTTGGCAAACTGGAAGATATTTTTGGTAACCCATAATTTCCCCCAGCTGCCAACTTTTGGAAGCCACGTGGGGTGAAGGGTGGTGAGCTGTAGGTAAAAATCATGCCACAGCTACTGTGAATGGGCATGTTGAGGTGGAGGGAAGCAATGAGTTCTTTATAAGCAAACTACACTGTGGCAGAGTAGATGAACCCATCATTTTGTTGGTAGTGTAACAGAGGTTCTTCATCCCCCCAGTTAATACTACGCTCCATATAGTTTTTGGTGGTAAATAGATACAAAAGGCCCTGATGGTTTCTTCTAGAACTGGGCCATAAATTGGGAGTTTCCATAAGACCACATCTTATACTTTGAAAGTATCATGAAGGACATTGGGGTGGTGCAAAAGTACTTGGATGGATCCTCCACTTACCCAAATTATTGTTGCAGGTTTCTCAATACTACAGGCTGCATAGGGCCACTGTTATCCATTACTTTGCCCATTGCCTCCGGTTAGTTGGAACTGGGAGTGACTGGCCACAATGTTTTCAGGTTGAAGAATTTTTAGAATGGGTCTATCTCAATGGCTACTAGAATTCTGACTTGTAGGTTAGGATACTTGCTTGACCATTCCA